CCCCAAAACCCCAAAACCCCAAAACCCCAAAGTGTTGAAATTGCAATCTTTAGTGAAATTCAATATCATATCGATTCCAATATATTAGTAAATATTTAACTTAGAAATTAAAGATGAGCAAGCAACCCCTAATTCCTAAAAATCAAGCTAGTAATCAACTTTTCTCAGATTAGATAGTTTATAATATTCTCTAGAACCGACAAACAAAGTTGAATAAGAATTAGATACTAAGAGAAACAAAGATCTAGACTTTCTCCTTGGAAAGGACCCTTTATATTAAAATGCAGCCTACTTTTTGGATCTAATATCATACAATGTTAGTTTGAATGGTAAAATTTATCAGATTTCATTGTTTCAGATCTATATGAGGTAAAAAATACCTGTTACAATGATGCTTTGATGGAATACTGTCCTGTCATTGTTGAGATTAAAAATGAAGTTCTCCGCAAGGATATGCACAATTCCAAATTCATTTTGTAAGTGTGGAACAAGAAAGGTGAAAAGGTCTATGAGCGCTTTTTGAAAAGTAAGAATTTTAATCTCACACCATAAAAGATGAGGTCGATGAATGGTCAATTAACGATTAATATCTGGTCTATAAACCTAATGCATAAGATGATGATGCAGGTTACTATCATATAGTTGACTTACTAAATCAAAACAAGACTCTGAGAATCAAAGATTCGATTGATATTCACAGGGATGACGCTATCACTTAAGAAACGAAAATTGACAGCAAAAAACAAAAACGTAAGTTCTGATTCAAACCACTTTATTATGAAATTCGTAGATTTTAACAATTATATTAGGATGCTATGTGGTATTCAATAAAAAGTGCTTATTTCTAGCAAACGCAAAAGATCTTTATGTGCTTAACTGCGAGCCCTATTTTAATTAGGATTTCATTATTGAATAGGGACTAGTTGAAGTTAGCAAGGATGAATATGAAAAGATTTTAACAGGTCGTCCATTATGGGGACTAATGTATAAATTTAAAAGAGCTTTAAGGTCGTTGCGTGAAGATGGAAAAGAATTTGAAATGAAGGAATACGAAGTTGTTGTTGCAATAGAAACCATTGATGGTTAGTTAGATATAAATGCTATTATTCTGAATTCGAACTATGATACAGCAGAATTTAACGATGCATCCCAGATTCTTAAAAGAGAATCATACAGTGTGCGAAAATACAAAAAATATTATGAAGGCGTCCTCACTTCTGATAAATTCTCTTTCGTTCAATAAGGTGTAGTGGTGAAAAAGAAATCAAAGCGTAATGACCCTATTGTAAAATTCTGCTACATGTTTGATGAGTATAACACTTTTTATGGAGTGACTATGAGAAAATCTGGTGAATTCGATATATATTGGAATATGATCCTTATAGACTCTTCATCTGAAAAAGTAGATGATATTTCAGTTAGCACAGATTGCTTATACTTCAAAATGAAATAAAACAAATTTATTGAGCATAAAAAGGACTCCATAAAAGGATTAAGGGTGAATAGTTCTTCAACTTATTTTGATCTTGCTCAAGACGAGAATGATTCCTTCAAGTTTGAATTAATATTCTTCCAAAACATCAAAAATCAAGGTAAGATGCCCAAAATTCTCAATATAAATTTGATCCTAATGTTTTGTATAGTTAATTTGTATAATAGCTATGCTCTAATCAGGACTGATTTATATATCGCCCACGATAAATACATCTCACTCTACAATGTCCAAGAAAAAGAATGGGTAAAGCATTTCAAATTCGAAAACAGAGAGATATACAAAATGGTTAAGAGAGGTCCTGACTACCCTGATCAAAGAGACAAAGAGCTGCTTTTAATCCTTAAAAATGGTGAAATTATTTTCGATTTAATATGGACTATTCGCTAAGAAGAGAAAAAACCTATGAATAAAGCAAAGCCTACATAAGGTAGCTTGAGTGTACATAAGTAATAGCACTTCATTACTATTGAATCTTAGAAAAGCTCTAATAAATTAGATTAAAGAGTCATCAAAGTTAGTAATAACTTTGGAAGTTCCAAATTCCAAGTTATGGTCTTGAAGGTAAACAATTTGATTGAAGTCAAAGCCTTGATTGATGAATAATCCATTGACATTACTGACAAAATTGAAACTCTAGATCTCAACCACTAAATATCCATACTTACTATATCCTAGAATGAAGATCTTTATCTGATAGTTCAAAAAAGATCTATGGTCTTCATTTATCATGTAATTTAAGATAATGATTACGAGACTTATCAAGAAATAAGCGGGCAATATAATAACGATGTAGAGGAGGAGGATAAGATCAAATTTGTAAAAGTTGCAGTTTTAGATATAAAAGAGGTAAATGATAATTTGGTTTTACACTCTTGCTTCGCAAGAGACCTCGCTGAGTAAATTGTTTTGATTGACGATTGCAACTTTTACTTTGTTTCAGTAAAGGAAAATACCTACGATATACTGCCACTTCAGAACTGTACAGGAATATCAGTTGTTGATGAAAATTATCTTTATGCTCTATGCCACTCAAGTCCGTTAAGAAGTTCTGGTTTCAGACTTTATGACATCAAAACTCTACTTGAGAAAAAGATAAGTTCTGATGTCTTTCTTCTGAATGCTTAGATAGGTAGCCTTTCAATGATTGATTTAAATAATACATATTCAAGGTTGACTTTTCAATAGTCCCTATAAACAATGATGATTATCCCAGCTCTACATAGAAACACTATCTCATTTATGGGTATGAAAAAGCGATCAGATTACATCGCAACAAGGCATAAAGATGGAAATTTTTATGCTTTGGATAGAGATAATATCATATTTTCTTGGAGTAGTATTTCAGGCAAGCTTGAAGAAATCAATAAGATTCGAGCAATACATAAGCTTGGCAATTATAAGATTTATAACGGATAAGGAGATGACTAGACTTATCATAGAGAGTGGTATGATAAAGTACTTTTGATTGAAATGACTGATGATGAGATTGCTCTATCAAGAGGCCATTCAAGAAGGCCTTCCAAGAATGAAATAGAAAATCAAGATGATCTTAATCAGAATGATTTAGATAGATCCACTATGATTTTTGGAAATACTCAAACACTTACCACAAATATTCCAAACATTCCAAGAGACTATCTTTCAGCTACTGGAGTGATGAAAACACTTCCATTTTAAACAATGTTTCACACATAGTGAAAGAGCACATTAAGGCGCTTTAAAATTATAGAAATAGTTAATTCATACAAAATCGTAGAGCATTTAGAATTTTCACACCCTGTGTATGAAGGAGTCTCGTAAAAGCTTTTCTTTGAAAAGAATTTATGTTTCATGCTTGAAATTATGGAAAAACCACATTGCTATCTTTACAGTAAAAGAGAACTTAAGTAAACAATAGATGGAAAGACAGTTACTTCTTCAGAATGGTCTCTATTCAAGAAACTTGATAGATTTCCTTATGATCTTGAATAAGGATCTTATTTCCTCAGAACTCTGACTCAGTCCTTCTAATACCAGCTTGAACTCGATCTTAAGGATAGAATTTTCAAAGTAACTGATGTTCGTAAACAAATAATTAGATGCAAGATTCCAAAGTATTTCATGGATATTGATGAGAGTCCTCCTCATGAAATAATGAAGAGATTTATGTGGATAGATGATAATACAATTAGAATAGTGAGCAGAGATGGTATTGAGGTTATTTTGGATTTGCTCTAAATAGAATTAAAGGAAAAAAGAGGTTGCAAGGGAAAGGAAATACCCCTTCAAAAAGCATACAATTTCATTCCTATGTTTTCAGTAGAGGATACTCCAGGGCTCTAAGATAATTATTTCTATAATTAAAAGAGTTTGAAACTCTCCTAGGTTTAATAAAGACTTATTAGGAAGTATTAGGAATATAAGTCAATTTACTATCTCAAAGAGTATTATTTGTAAGATGAGCCAGTAGATAGATATTTGAATTAGACAGTGTATAAAACGGTTAAACCCCCTGAAATTCTGAATAGTTTATATAAAGTAGATTACCAGCAGGATAATTGTAAAGGATTGTATGTTGCAGATTTCTCATTCTCCTTCTTGCACTGGAGAATTATCGAAAGATTAGATGAAGGAACCTTAACACTTCAAGAACTTGATATTGAAACTATTAAATAGCTGTGCTATATCATTCTACCTGGAGGCTATACTTTACTTCATAAACTAGCAAATAATGACTTAATTATCTAGTAGATCTTTAAGTTAGCATAGCCAAATGATGAAAAACCAAATTTGATAGATATCCACTTGCCATTCATTCCGAACTTCAATAAAATGTCTCCCATGCACATTTGCAAGAACAGAGCTGATATTAGAAATATTAACATCATGCTTCAATACTTGACTGGGTACGGTATAGATCATCATTCTAGAGCCATTTCAGATTTATTACCTTACATTATTGATAAACAGATACCTTCTTTCATTGAATATTTATCTTCTAGGTTCTAACAAACTGAAGTTCTCAAGTCTTTAAAGAAAGGATGCCTTGATGAGGGTCATAATGGTATATTCTAGAAAAATATTTGGTTTAATCATATTTCTTTCAAGGAGAAGATCACAGCTAAAGAGAACGATGAGAGAGTTGAATAGCCAATCACTGTACATTTCATCGATATGCCATATCTATATCATCTTAATGAGGGTCTTACAGATGAGTTTTACGATGAACTTGCGAGAACAGATCTGCTTGATATATTCGAGCAGCAGTCTATTTAGAAAATGATTGAGTTTAACTACCCTATCGTCTAAAAATGGACAATTATCAAGCTTTTTATTCCTTTTATGACCTTTTAAGCTATGCTATTTTTCTACCTTAACGTGGTATTTGGTACAACCAGCAAGCTTGACTATCCTTGCTAGATTATTCTTGGTTTATTTGCTTGCTATTTCCTTAGAAATGAGATCATTTAAATATCAAATGAAGGATTTATGTACTTATCATCAGTTTGGAATTACTTAGATATCATTACACCTGTTATTATTCTTACTTTACTTACTATTAATGGCTTTAACATTGATATTAGTAGAAACTCACAAAGAATATTCTAAGCTATAGGAGTATTCTTTATGTGGTTTAAGTTCTTGTATTTCTTCAGAATCTTCAAGAGTTTCGGCTATCTCACGCGTTTAATTATACTTGTCGTTTATGACATGAGACACTTTATGGTTGTACTATTCATTACACTAGTTGCTTTTTCTGATTCATTCCTGACACTATCAAATGGAAATGAGGAGAATGATTAATTTGTGCACGGTTTTTACGATTCCATTATTTATACCTATAGAATCATTTTGGGAGATTTTAATGTAGAGAAGTTTGGATCAGTCGGTACATAGCTAGTTTACGGATTGTTCATATTGTGTACGATGTTCAACACTATTGTCATGCTTAATCTACTTATTGCTATTATTTCAGAAACATTTGAAACTGTCAAGGAAAACTCTGAGAATGCTTCTCTTCAGGAAATGGCAAGCATGATTGGAGAAAATGGTTATCTCATTCCATAAAAGCTTAAAGAAAACTACGCAAGAAACAACGGATACTTAATGATCATATCTTCGGTTGAAGAATAAGCATTACAGAATTCTGATGAAATTCTTCATAGATTGGATAAGTTGAAAAAGCAGATGGAGAATTCATCTGAGAACTTCAATAACAAATACAAGGATCTTAGTATCTTCCAGCAGCGATAAGAAATTCTACTGCATTAACTAAATCAAACCTAACAAGCAATCCTCAAAAGACTAGATTACATGCCTTTAGATGAGGATATGCATCATAATTTAAACAGACAACAATAGCTACCTCGAGACTTATTTTCAGGAATGTCCTCAAACAGTAATGCCAATGACGGTCTTAAGAGATTTATGACAAGTGCGATGAAACTGAATAAAACAGGTGGCAATCAAAAGTCTTTTGGAAGTGTTCTTAAGGCCCCATAGGATTAACAGAAACTGGGATTAATTAATTCAATTCCAGCTACCCCTAACACTAGATCAAGAGCTAGTGTATATTTACCATCTAGAGATAAATCTACTCTCTAATGAAAATCATTAAATCCTTTTTAATCATTTTTAAACTTCAATTTTTCAGTATTACAAATTAAGGGGTTTTGGGGTTTTGGGG